GGGTTAAGGGGGGGGTAGGGGTTGGGTTACAGGGAGGGTCAGTGTTGGGGTTACAGGGAGGGTCAGTGTCGGGGTTACAGGGAGGGTCAGTGTCGGGGTTACAGGGAGGATTGGTGTAAAGGTTAGTGTTAGGGTTACATGATAGGGCTAGGATGGGGGGGAGTTAAAGTAAGCATAAGGGTGGCTGTTAGGGTCAGACACCTCGTCACAGAAAACATTTGGCGCTGCCACCGGACGAATCGGAAACGTCAGACCCAACATACCTCCCGTGACCGGTCCCCTTTACAGGTGAACTTGCACCCATCAGCCGTATAGTGGACCGTGTGCCAGCACAGCTCTCTCTCTCTCTCTCCCCCCCCCCTCTCTCCCCGTCTTCCCCTCTCTCTCTCACCCCCAACACGTTTCCTCGCAGCTGTGCTGCCCGTCCCCCATACCCCCTTTCTTACCCTTCCCCGCAGAGCATCAGTCCAATGCACAGCACGGTGTGACACAGGTCCAGCGCGCTCAGCTTCAGTCTCATGCTGCTTTCAGCGGCGCGCTCTGACTCCCACTTGTCAGTCTGGATGAGACTTTCCCTCCGTGCGAGCCAGCGAAGCCATGCTACCTGCAGGAAGACAAAAGATAAAGGACGTCCGTGTCAGGAAGGAACGGCAGCGGCAGGCAGATGAGCGGGGACGGAGCTCCGCGCGGCACAACAGAGCTGTCACTGTTGCAGCCAGATGCCGACATCAGACAATACAACTGGTGTGTGACTTTCATTCCCTCCCCTGGCGCGTCCTTGAACGCCTTCCGAAATCTCTAAGGAGCTCCGCGCCGCGCACCTCCGTCATTTCGTGTTGTCAGCTGCCTGCCTGCGCCCCAAAGCAGAACGGTGTCTATTATCTTCCTGTTCAGTTACCTGCTGTATATCGCTACCCATAGGGCGCTGTTGATCCACAGGTGACCCTGTATACCTGCTGCATATCGCTACCCATAGGGCGCTGTTGATCCACAGGTGGCCCTGTATACCTGCTGTATATCGCGACGCTACCCATAGGGCGCTGTTGATCCACAGGTGACCCTGTATACCTGCTGTATATCGCTACCCATAAGGCGCTGTTGATCCACAGGTGACCCTGTATACATGCTGTATATCGCTACCCATGGGGCGCTGTTGATCCACAGGTGACCCTGTATACATGCTGTATATCGCTACCCATAGGGCGCTGTTGATCCACAGGTGACCCTGTATACCTGCAGTATATCGCTACCCATATGGCGCTGTTGATCCACAGGTGTGTATTCTCTGAAACCATCGCTGACCTGTACTGGGAGGCTCATGTAGACTGCGATTGCTGACCCCCCTCCTGAAGATGACTTCAGCGAGCTATGATCCAGAACCCCGTTATCTGCACACTTGTTCTGGAGACGTGATAAGGGGGTCTATACATGAACAATCCCGCCCAGGCGATCTCTGTGGACGTTCCCTTCTGTGCGAAAAGAGGCAAAAACGAGCGTTCGAAGTATATTTTCTTTACAGGTGAAATGTATCGGGATGTAATACCACAATGTGGCCACTAGATGGCACTGAGGGGCAGGGGAGACCAATACCTATTACCTTTGCTCCTCGGCTCCACCGAGTGGCCATAATGAAGTATTACATTCTATTACGTTTGACCTGAAAAGAAAATATACTTCGAACGTTTGAGGGTTTTTTTTGCCTCTATTCGCACAGAACGAACGTTTGCAAATTGATTAACAGACCCAACAGAAGTGTGAGGTCGCTGGATTAGCATGACAGCCAGGCACATAACATTTTCAGAAGGAGGAGTTAGGCTGGCTTGGCTGGCTCCTTGTACAGCTTCTTTTTCTCCCAATCTAAAAGCTGCTGTACCGGGGCAACCTCATGGATACAAAGATTGTACGGTCAGACTGTAATGTGTATGGTGACCCCCAAGGCTCACCATACACGTTATAATCTGACCGTAGAATCTCTGTGCTGTCAACTTTAGATCTACCAAAACTATGCAACGTGACGACCTTCCTAAACCATACAATCTGCGTCCAATCAGACTTGTCACACGTTACAATCTGATTGCACAATCACCTTTACATACCCAACCAATACCATGTAATATGGGGACATACCTTACCTATCCAACCAACACCATGTAATACGGGGACATACCTTACCTATCCAACCAACACCATGTAATATGGGGACATACCTAACCTATCCAACCAATACCATGTAATATGGGGACATACCTATGTGCACTACATAGCTGTTGGTGGATCTGAAGGAGATTGTACAATCAGATTGTAACGTGTGTGGCGTGCATTAAACCCCATCTGAAGCCTCTTCTATGTACAGGTAGAGTGATCCTTGCTCTCTGCAGCACAGCCTATAGCCTTGCAGCCCACAACAGCCAAACCTGGCTCTATCAAAGCGCCCGTGTGCGCACAGCAAGAACGCCGCCAAAGGTGGTAAAGCGAAGTACCTGCTCCTGGCCATAGCCGGTGCCGCCAAGCTGTCCTTCGGTACCTCTGGCTGACGGCCGGGGAAGATCCTCGAAGTCACACGTGGACAGGTGAATCCTGTCTCCATACCTTGCTGCCGAGACACGCTGTGCTCCGCCGCCCGTACTGTACAAATGTTACCTTAAATGTTTGGAGGCGTGTGCAGCTATGGGCCGGGGGAGGGAGACGTAGAAGGTGGGTTAGACAATTCATAAGAGTCCTGCCAAAAAATGTTCTTCTATTCATTCCTCCG